TGAAATTAATTTTTATTTTAATTTCAATAAAATTTATAAATAAAAGTTTTTTTTTATAAATTTACTTATAAAATTTAGGTACGTCAATTAATTTGATCAATAAGTCTGCAATTGTAAACGACATGTCGGCCGACTGATAATGTATCGATATATACACCATGCATTCTTTGATGCACGTTCAGTTGATTCACTTAAAAATGAAGAACCATAAGTTCAAGTTCGTGCTTCAATTAAATCAAGAATTTGTTAAAAATCTCGACGCCAATTATATTATTGGTATAGTATACACTTAACTAACTATAATTAGATGGAATACATAACGATAAGTATACACATTACAAAAGCATCTCCGTTAGAGAATTGTCTACTACGGATTATTGTTATACGGCTTTATGACTCAAATAAAAATGCCAAGCTACGTACGTACGTACGTACGTACGTATGTATGTACAGTACGTAAGTAAGTAACATGATCACTTTCGGATTTCGGACTACCTTGGGTAAGCTCCTTTTTCGACTAAAAAAGAAAAGATATTCCGAATAATAAACATATTAATATAATTTTTTCACATTTATTTCTTTAAGACGAGTTTTTCACATTTATTTTTAATCAAATGTCTGAACAATCATCGCAAGGAGGGAATCTTGAAGATACCTCTAAATTGCCCCAATCTACACCATCTTTAGTTGGAAAATTGCTGAGTCAGCGAAAGTTTTTCGTAAGCTTCTATTAACAAACGAGCTTTAGTTGCTCGTGTAAATTCTGAATTGATTCTTTTTTTTAATATCATTATTAGACGAGCAAAAATTCTGTAGTTGAACGTCTAGATTCATCTTCTATTTCTTCTAATTCGACAGTTTTTTTGAGTCATTGCGAGGATATTGAGTATATTGTGGATTCTACTTGTACAAAAATTATGATCGGTAAGTCCGGTACATATATTTATTAGTTGCTGCGCCAATGTCGCATCAATAATTCATTATGTCTATTACTGTATTAGAGGAATGCAAGAATCTTTCCTTGACAGCTAATGACAAAATCATTACTTCAACTATTGAAATATGGAAATCACAAAATGTTACACTTAAGGTATGATTTAAATAGTTACAACTATATTGCATATACCAAACCGACACAACTAAATAAGTATATATTAAAAAAAAAGCTTAATACGCAAGTTCAAACAATTCAAGTGGATCAATGTCAGAATGTTAATCTTCAGTATGAAAATCTAAGCAACTTTCATTCAGTTGTTTGGACTGATAGTGATCAAATTTGTTTGAAAGTATTTGAAGGTGGCGAAGGTAAAATTTTTATGATGCATTTATTACAATTTATTAAATTTTCGCATAATAACAAAACATACGTACGTATGTATGTACTATATAGAGAAGCATGTGTTGTCTACTGGTAATTCTTTCGAACAGCCTACCACTACAGAAGAATCTGTTGCTCAAGATGCTCCAAGCGATAAAGAATCAATAAAACTTAATCCATATCAATATATTGTTAGGTTAATTGATGATAAATTGGTTACTGAAAAGCTCATTCGCGCTGAAAAAGGATTTCCAATTACTCAAAGAGAATTAGATGAATGGAAAGTTAAAAATAATATTACTTCATAAATATTTATTATATTTGAAATACTGTATGTTTGACATTTACGTGTCGGAAAAAAATACATCTAGTTACAAGGAAATAAATTACTAAACTTCACAATATGTATAGCTAGTGTTGGGCAATTAAATTAACTTGGTTTTCCCGGATATAAACCGGATATACGTATATATGCTTTAATATTACACGTAGTGTATGTACACGGGTATTAAACCTCGATTATGCTTGGTTAAAGTAGGTTTAGGGTTAGAGTAGGTGATATTCGTGAGAAACTTTTTTGTCAGAAACTATCACAATAGATGCAGACATATGCAAGTGTCTTAACGTCAATTAGACGTAGCTCGAAGATATGTCGGTACGTCAAAAAGCTATAACTAATGTTTGCCGTAGCATTTGACGTCTGCGTAATATTTGACTTGTGCCGTAATAGTTGATGTGTGCTGTAAATTTTTGATTTATGTGTTGTAAATAGAAACAATTTAAGTGGATTCGGAATTCTAGTACGTTTGTCATATCTGATAAATTTAACACGAAAATTCTGAATCTACTTAGATTCTGTTTCCATGACGTAACACACATACGCTGTAATATTGCTCTGTAACAGTTTTACATTGATTCACGTACCATTAATTACGCGTACGTACATTAAATAATCATTATGCCCACCGCTATATTTATACGAATAAATTTTACAGAAAGAAAGATTATGTAAAGATAAATTCAACAAACGAATGCTTATTGTAAATGCATTCATTTGATAATTTTTATTCTCATGAATGAAATAGAGTTAAAAAGGTCTTTATATGAAAATGTTTTCGAATTTAAATTAAATTATATAGACTCCAACTAACAAATGGTTATCCATTAAATTTTTTTTCAACGTTAGTAATAGTCTTTGATCAAAAAATAATTGAAAATAATAATTGTTGTAAAATCAAATTCTTATTAAAAACTCATTTGACGTAACAGGTTACGGCAAGTGTCAATTATTATGACCTACGTCGTTATGACACTTTTGACGTGACGACACGTCAATTGGACGTAACCATACGTCTTCAAATGTTTGCATCTATGGTTAGAGCCCGATAGTTTCATAATCGAACAATGTTGGCATCTGGACTATTGCTATGTCCAATAGAAATTTTATCATTATTTGGACATGGACAAATATGGACATGGACTAATCCAAATTGTGACCATGTCCATATTTGTGTATTAATCAATTTAAAAAAAAAAAATTTTAAAAAGTATCTGGGTGTAGTGATGGACAATTTACAGGTTCTCCAAGAATATTCTATAAAATAGGTGGGCAATATGAGAAATAAACTTCGCTAATGATTAGTAATCATTAATTTCTTAATATCGGAGTTGTGGAAGTGGCGGAGTTTGCCCACCTATTATATAGACCATCCATTTTGGATGCTTGTACCAATGCCTATACTAAATTTTTGTATCAGTATTCATGCTTATGCCAAAGCTTTTATGCATATACCAATACCTAAATTTTTGTTAGGCATAGGTATATGCCCAGGTTGTAAACCTCTAGTAATAGTTTTAGATAAAAATTTTTAAATAACTTAATTTTAAATAAACAAGTATGAAGTAATCAAATTAAAAAAAATAAATAGTTATTTTAAATTAATATATATTTTAGATCTTGAATATTTTTAAAAACCTGTAGATAAAGGGTGTGGTGACTTAGTGAAGTGGTGAAGTTGGTACACCTCCATGTGGTAGAGTATAAGTTCAATTTCCATGAAAAGTGAAAAATTGGATTTTAGAAAAACGGATTTGGCAACTATTGTTGTAATTGGAAAAACTTAAGACCCTGTAACTGTGGTCGTATCAAGATAAAAATTGGAAGGTTCTGGGGCATTTGTGTGATAAAGAAGTTATACAAAGGCATGCAAGCCAGTTTAGTTAGTGCAAACCCAAGATAAGTTCTTCAGAATCACAGAAAGTTACAGGACCAATACAGTGGTGGGGTGTTTGTTTGGGAAGTCCTGAATAAAAAAGTAGCACAGACCTTCGATGGTATTATACAGTATGCAGATTAATACTTAGAGAATCAGATAAACTGAACAGAATCAAAGTGTTCAGCAAAGCACTTCACCAACCAGGCTACCAAAGGAGTAATCAGAGAAAAAGAACCAATCGTGAAAATCAGGACAGATCATAGCTCTTTCAAACTATCTGAATTGGTAGTTTGGGATAGCTGGGATATCAGTAATAGTCTGTAGGTGTACCGAGATTTGGGTAAACTTTATAAAGGCATAGTAGGTAACTATAGCGGCTTCAGCTTGCAAATATTTGTCCTTGGACTCAGTATAAGTTATCAAAGAAAACTAAACAATATAAAAATAGTGAATACTAGACTGCTTTAGCAGGTGATATACTCAAGGATGAATCAGTTAACTATACCAGTAGTTCTATAGGTAAACACAACGATTCTGAAACTTGCACTAACTAATATATTACATGTTCTGAGTAAGATTAGACAGATTAATATAGAAAACTTGGATCAGAGGGTTTAATTGAATAACTCAAATAATAGTAGATTATAAGTATAGCATCTAGTGTAATATCTAGCACATAGGTAGAATACTTAATTAGACATTCAAAAAGTACAAATATAGCTAGAATATATCTTTATCAAAATATACTTGTCCAGACCTCTTTGAAAAGAGCACCACATGATCCTAAATCTAATAAAAGCAATAAGCCAAAGAGTCTAACCTTGACTATAAAAAAATAAAAAAACCTGTAGATAACCAAAACATATATCACTAAGTATAGCATCTAGTATAGAAACTTGTAATAAATTTAATAAATATATTCAATAAAAGCTGCTAGCTATAAAATCATCTTAAATATTAAAAAAATAAAATTTTAAATAATTTATTATGTTTTTAAAATTGTTCAAGATGTCTAAACTTTGTCTAAAGGCTGTCTTTATACAGTGTTATGCCTATCTATACTATAGTAATCTAAAATTTTAAAATTTTATATAGCAAAAAATCTAAATAAAATTAAATTTTACTATATTAACCAAATTTTTGATTTCTAATTAAAATATTCAATATTAAAATTTATATACTGTATACTATTTTTTTATATCAAATATATATAAAATATTTAAGATACATTAACTTATCTTAAGAGTCTAATTTTTACTTAATATAAGAGTATCTATTTTTTATAAATTATATTTGTATTTTTTTTATTAGACATAGTTACTTATTTTAAATAAAAATCAAATATGGAGATGAGTCAGTAGAAAAGGAACAAATTATTTTTAGTAAAATTTTTTTATTTTTAAATTAAAATACCTTAACAATTATTTAATCAAATTTGCTAAAAATTTTTTTATTTTAATTTTGAAATTATATAAAATTAAAATAACAAAAAATATTTAATTTAATAATAAAATATTTAATCTTAAAGTCAAGAAAACTTTTACTTAAAAAAAATTTGTTTCTTTTCTACTAATTTACTCCTATATTCTATGCAGAATATTCTTTTATTAATTAATTATATGTCTAGTACTATTTGATATTTGTGTCTAATATCTTTTTAATACTATTTGTCTAATATATGCAGTGTTGGCTGATAATCTTAAATAACCTATATGACCTTTATGACTTGTCATAAATTATTTGATTATAATAAAGGTTAATATAACTTTATGACCTTTTAATATAGTAGAATTTATAGCAAAAAATTTTTTTATTAATATTTGATAGGACTGATATGACTTATAACCAAAAAGTTATATAATTATATGACCAAGATTATATCGAAAAATATTATAATCTATGTTATCAGCCAATACTAAGTATATATGGGGTGAGTCAGTAGAAAAGGGACAAATTTTTTCTAAATAAAAGTTTACTTGATTTTAAGATTAAATATTTTAACAACTATCTTATTAAATTTAATAATTTTTTTTTTATTTTAATTTTATATAATTTTAAAATTAAAATAAAAAAATTTTTAGCAAATTTGATTAAATAATTGTT